GAGGAAGGAAAGCTGTGGGGGACGGGGGGCATGCTGGCCTCATGGGCTTGGGGGCCTACAGCAGCCTCACCTTCAGCATCATGCCTCTTCCACACAGCGTTTCCATGCAGGCCAGGGGATGGGAGGGGTCCCTGAGCCCTTCCCTTCCCCTCTAAGGAGGAGCAGAGGAACAGAGTGGGGAAGCCGAGCGGCAGTTCCCTTGGGGGCTTAGCCCAGGTGCTTCATAACTGCAATCGGAAGTGCAGGAGCTGGTCAGAGCCAATGAGAAGGAAACCTCATCTTTGCATAGCCCATGCCTCGTGGAGAGGTGATATCATACATTCACATGCTTCTCACCTAAGTCCCCAGGGTCCAAGGGAGAAGCCCCAGACCCCCTTCTCTTGCAGAGTGTGGGGGGTGGTGGTGCTGCAGGGGCAGGGCTGGGTGGGGGTCACCAGACTTTCTGCCCTTGGGGCAGTACGGCTGGCATTTGTTTTATAGACTCTTGTCTTTGGAATTGGGGGGAGGGGGGAGTGTTTCAATCTGTTATATGTTCTGTGTTTAATGAAGAAAACCTATTTATTAATGAAAAATATAATATAAAGAATTTGGCTCCATTTTTGTTTCTGTTTTCTTTGGTTGTTATACTTGTTTTCGTCTTTTTTCCTTTTTGTGGAGAACGGGGTCTCGCTATGTTACTCAGGCAGATCTTGAACTCCTGGGCTCAAGCTATCCTCCCACCTCTGCCTCCTTAATAGCTGGGATTATAGGCGGGAGCCACCCTGCTGGGCCCTTTGGCTGATGATAATGAGAGAAAAGCTGTCCTGGGGCCCTTTCTGTGGGCTGCAAACAGGCTGCCTCCACCATTCCCCAGCTCCTCCAAGAAAGAACTTCTCTTTTCCCCCATCCCCTGCTGCAGCCCCACCCAAGACCTACTAAACCAAGGAAGAGCTCCTTAGCCCTAGAGCAGGGGAGTGGGGTTCTCAACCCTGGAACTATTGACATTTTGGACTGGATAATGATTTGTTGTGAGGCACTGTTCTATGCAGACTAAGATGTTTAGCAATGTCCCTGACATCTGCTGGATGCTAGATGACAGCACCCTACTCCCCAGCTGTCACAACCAAAAATGTCTCCAGATGTTGCCAAATGACCCCTGTGGAAAAATTACTCCTGGTTGAGAACCACTGCCCTGGAGAGTCTAGAGGAGAGAAAAAAGATTAGGTGAAATCATCAGTAGGGGACCCCACCCCACGTTGAAGGTGGACAGACTAAGCCAAAGCTGGGGGAGGTTCCTGGGTTCTGATCTCTTGAGTTCAAGGAGAGGTGACAGACCTTTGCCTTCATGACCTTCCAATTCCGACGCCTACTGCTGGCAGCTCAGGGACATTAACTCTTACCTTCCTTTCTCAGTGACTTACAGCTCTTGCTTTCCAAGTGCCATGGTGTAGTGCTAGCACTAGAAATAAAGTTAGCATGTATTGAGAACTTAATGAGTGTGCAGCACTGTGCTGTGTCTAGGGCTTTATATTATCATATTTAGCCTCATCAATGATAAGAGCTAACATTTGTTAAATGTTTACTATAGGTCAGGGGCACTTAAACGAGGTTTTTTTTTGAGACAGGGTCTCACTCTGTCGCCCACACTGAAGTACAGTGGCATAACCACTGCTCACTGCAACCTCAACCTCCTGGTTCAACTTATCCTCCTACCTCAGCCTCCTGGGTAGCTAGGACTACAGGAGCGCTACACTAGGAGTCTATTTTTTGTAGAGATGGGGTTTCGCCATGTTGCCCAGGCTGGTCTCCTTTTGGGCTCAAGTGATTCTCCTGCCTCGGCCTCCCAAAGTGCTGGGATTACAGGCATAAGCCACAGTGCCCAGCCCCACTTGTGAGTTCTTTATATGTTATTTATTCTTGTGATAACCCTATGAGCCTTTGAGGTACTATCTACTTTGTTTTTTTTTTGAGACGGAGTTTTGCTCTTGTTGCCTAGACTGGAGTGCAATAGCGTGATCTTGGCTCACCACAACCTCTGCCTCCAAGGTTCAAGCGATTCTCCTGTCCCAGCCAGGAGCTGGGACTATAGGAATGCGCCACTATGCCTGGCTAATTTTTTCTTTTTTCTTTTTTTTTTTCTTTTTAAGTAGAGATGGGGTTTCTCCATGTTGGTCAGGCTGGTCTGGAACTCCTGACCTATGGGAGTGAGCCGCCATGCCCAGCCACTATCTATTTCATTTGACAGACAAGAAGACCAAGAGATTAGGTAATGTGCAAAAGGTCACACAGCTAGAAAGTGGTTGAACATGGATACAAAGCCAGGCAATCTGGCTTCACATCATGCACTCTAACCTGCTTGGCTATCCTGTCCTGTGAGGGAAGTGGTATTATTATCCCTGTTTTGTAAATGAGGAAAGAGAAAACCAGAGATGGCGTATAATTTGCACAAGATCACAGTACTAAGTGGATTACTACTCCATCTCCAGAGATGAAGGTTTGGGTGCAATGGCTGATGCCTGTAGTTCCAGCACTTTGGGAGGCAGAGGCAGACAGACTGCTTGAGGCCAGGAGTTTGACCAGACTGGACAACATTGCAAGACCTTGTCTCTACAGAAAATGAAAAGATTAGGCCATGTGAGGTGGCTCACACCTGTAATCCCAGCACTTTGGGAGGCCAAGGTGGGTGGATCACCTGAGGTCAAGAGTTTGAGACCAACCTTACCAACAAGGTGAAACCCTATCTCTACTAAAAATACAAAAATTAACTGGGCATGGTGGCAGACATCTGTAGTCCCAGTTACTTGGGAGGCTGAGACAGGAGAATTGCTTGAACCCGGGAGGCGGAGGCTGCAGAGATCCAAGATCATGCCACTGCACTCCAGCCTAGGCAACAGGGCGAGATTCTGTCTCAAAAAACAAAAAACAAACAAAAAAAAGATTAACCAGCCATGATGGGGTGCACCCGTGGTCCCAGCTACATGGGAGGCTGAGGCAGAAGTTTCGCTTAAGCCCATGAGGTCAGGGCTGTAGCGAGCTGTTTGTGCCACTGGACTCCAGCCTGTGCAACAAAGTGAAACCCTATCTGAAAAATAAAAAATATATAAAAACAAATAAGAAAACAAAGATGCACGTTTGTGAGAGAACTTGTGGGGCAAGGAAAATAAGTATCCTTGAAGCTCAACGTCTTACAGGTGTCATGAGAGGTGTGAACAAGTACTAGGGGAACTCTGCCACTATGAACTAGGACAAGCTTTATCACCTTCTGGGGGCTCAATTTACTCATCTTTAAAGAGGGTTAAGATGGCAGCCTGAAACTAGGGAAAGGCGATGGACTCTGAAGTTAAATGAACCTGAACTTCAGAAAAGAAAGAAAACCATTCTCTTCTTTTCTCTTTTCTTTTCTTTCTTTTTTTTTTTTTTTTTTTTTTCCAGGCAGGGTTTTGCTCTGTTACCCAGGCTGTAGTGCAATGGCACGATCAGGGCTCAATGCAGCCTCGACCTCCTGCGCTCAAGCAGTCCTTCTGCCGTGGCCTCCCAAAAGCCACCTCACTTGGCCGGTTCTTCTAACTATGCGGTCTTTGAAGGTGTACTCTTTCTGGGTCACAATCTCCTCACCGGTAAAATGGAGATCGCAGTCATCTCATACGGTTATGAGAACTAAGCAAAACAAGTAAGGTAGGTTAAGGGTCCAGCTCAGAGCTGGACACTTAGAAGATTCTCAATAAAAAGTGGCTGCAGCTTTTGAAGATTCTGGCCTACCATAGCTGATCCGATTCTTAGTTGATCTGTGAATCTGTGAATCTGTGAGTCGAGCGCCCTCTCGTGCCCTCGTGGTGAATTACACCTAACAGGTTTCAGCGCTCCCTTCTTTCCCTTCGGTTTTTTTCTGGAGCAGAAGCTGGTAAGTGAAGGGCTGCAAAGTTCCAAGAGAAGTGTGTGTCTCCGAGGTTTACTTTGGGTCATTGTGCGTGATGCTCAGGGCTTTAGGATTATTCGGGTGTATCCTGAAGCTCTGCTTGAGCGCTTAAGGCATATTCAGAGAGAAAAGCTAGACCTACAGCCACATGGAACTGAAGCAACAAACCTGCTGCTGGCAAAATGGGAAGGGAAGCCCAAGATACTTCTGGTTATCTAAATCATTTCCTCAATTGCAATGTTTCGTTTTGAGGGAAAGAGTTATGAACCCATAAGATCAAAGAGAAATACAAAGTGAACTTACGATTTGAGGTTGAAACAACAACAACAAACTCAGTGGAGGACTGAAGTAGGGGAATCTGGGGGAAGAAAAAAGCAAAAATACCAAGATTGCTCAACAACTGGTCAGACTCCAAAGGGCCAGAAATTGAGGAAACCACTGTTCTATCTGGAATGTTGAGAAAACAGGTGCTAGAGCCCAGGAGATACCATCCTTCCGGGAAGACCTTAGTGTTCATTGTGTGGGCTCACTTGGAGCTATAACAATAACTGCGGGTTGTTATGTTATTCACCCGGCTGCAGGAGCCAAGGTTGCTAAAACATCCTCCTAAACCTCGGATAGTTCCGCACAATGGAGAATTGCATCACCCTCATGTGAACCTACTCCTGTAACCTAATCTTAGTTTTTCCAACTGTAAAATGGGGCTAACGATTGTCTCATTCTCATAGAATTGTTATTAAAATCGCCTTTCCACGAATGGTATTTATTCTTGTTACTGCAGTTGGCTAGAATTACGTGCCATAGGTATCTCAGGAAGCCCTTAAATTCCTCCACCGTAAGCCACGGGCAGTGATAGTCATCTACTGTAGTTTCTAGGAAGGCCAGTAGATTTCAAGAAGGCTGTTCGGCGGGAGAACCTAATGCCGGAAGCCTATTCACGAGAAACTCTTCCTTCCCGGACACTAAGCTGTGGCGAACCTCTCTGGCCTGCCTACCCAACAGCCTGGGGCGGGCGCTCGCGTTGTGCATTCTGGGATTGGTAGTTCCCAGGCCTCAATGTCGGCCTGCGCCGCCCAGCTCCAGGAACTCGTTTTCCCAGCTTGCCGCGCGGCCGGTGGGGGTTGCATCTCCGCGACCAGGAAACGGGAAAGATGGCGACGGTTCCGCGACGTTGAGGCCGCGTTGGGCGGTTCAGACTCAGGGTGGTGAGTCCCGGGCAGAGGAGGCGGTTCCCACGGGCTTACAGAGAGGGCGAGAGTCGGGGCACGGCGGTGGCCCCTGCCTCTGGGACGAGGCGGGAAAGAACGCCTCAGGGAAGGAGCATGAACCCGGGAAGCTCGCGCTAGCAGGAGCGAAGGGGCCCGGGCCCCAGGGGTAGTGTTGGCTGCTGCGGACACAGGCCACGTCCCTGCACGATATTTTCCTCCCACAACTCTGCCCATGGGCACAGCGCCTGTGATACCCCCAGTCTGACCTTATTCTTTCATGCTTCAAGTAGCCTTTGCTGCAGCCAAACTGGAACTCTGACTTTTCTCAGAATCAGTCCATGCTTTCCCGCCTCTGCGCCGCGCTTATTATTTCTTTTGCCGGGAATGACTTCTTTTCCGCGTCCTTAATTACATATCTTCAAATTCTACTTAAAGGCTCGTAAGTCACTTCCTCTACCAAGCCTTCCACCTCACCTTTTACAAGTGAAAGGAAACGCCTTTGAACACCCGTAATACTACAGCTGAGCTTTGATACTATTCTTGGTATGTGTGTGTCTCATACTCCCTATTGTCCTTGTGCGTGCCTGTTTTTTTTTTGTTTTTTGTTTTTTTTCTAAGACAGAGTCTCGTTCTGTCGCCCAGGCTGGAGTGCAATGGCGGGATCTTGGCTCACTGCAGCCTCCACCTCCCGGGTTCAAGCGATTCTCTTGTCTCAGTCTCCCGAGTAGCTGGGATTACAGGCGCACGCTGCCACGCCCGGCTAATTTTTTGTATTTTTAGTAGAGACGTGGTTTCACCGTGTTCCCCAGGCTGCCCTCAAACTCTGCAGCTCAGGCAATCCACCTGCCTCGGCCTCCCAGAGTGTTGGATTAGAGGCCTGAGTCACTGCGCCGGGCCTCATACCACTTGTTCTAAAAACTTCCTGTGAACAGAATTTCCTTTTGTAACTCACATAGCGCCTAGCACTGTGCCTTGCATACAGTAGATGCTTGATAAATACTTCATCGAATGAAAATAAAGAATGTGCCCCTGCCCTGCAAGAACTGAGGACCCAGAAGATCTGGAAGTTTGAGAGGAAGGCTGCTGGGAAGCATGGCCAGAGTCAGCTTGGTTATTTGATCCTTGTGATAATAGAACCTGTAATAAAAGTTGCCTGTATTTACTGTCTTCTCCTTTTTCATTCTCTTCCAAACTCATTCCACTCAGGCTTCCATTCCCTTAATGCCACTGAAACAGCTCTTGTCAAGATCACCAATAATCTCCATTTTTCCAAATTCAGTGGTTGCTTCCCTGTCCCTTAGTCCCTCTCCACTTCGGTGGTACTTGACACAGTTGACCCCTCCCTCCTTGAAACATGTTTTTGGCTTCTTTGTTGCCGTACTCTTCTTTCTCTTTTCTCAATGGCTGCTGGTTCTTTCCAGTTTTTTTCTCTTGTTCATCCTGTGCCTAATTCCTGTTAAAGTGTTCCAGAGCTCAATCCTGGATCTTTCTCTCTGCTATTTTTTTTTCTTTCACTAATGCTGCCTATTATTAAGTGTTCCATGGCTTTAAAAGCTATCTGTGTATTGGTGACTCAAGCTTTTGTCTACAGACCCTCTCTCCTGAGTTCTAGATTTGCATTTCTATTTGCCTTCCAGGAATCTCCACTTGGTTGTCTTACTGACATCTCACACTCAACCTGGCCAAAATGAAACTTTTGATTTCCACTTAAATCTGTTGCTTCCCTAGTCTTCTCCAGTTTGTTTGCTATGGCACCACAAACTGTCAGGTTGCTGGAAACTATAAATTTAGGAACTACCTTTGTGTCTCCTCTTTCCTTTTCTCCCTTCATCAGTAAGTCCTCCAGAATATGCTCTGATGCTGCCTAATTCTTTCCATCTCCATTGCCACCTTCCTAGAACAAGCCACTGCCTTGTCTTGCCTAGACTACTGTAATAGCACTCTCAATGGTTGTGTATTCACTCTGCCTCTCTACTGTCTATTTTCTTGCAAGTCACTGAAGTATTAGATTGCTTCCTGTTTAAAGCTCTTCTAAGATCCCCATTGCAGTTAAAATCCAAGTTGCTCTACTCTGGCCTGTAACACATTTTCATGATCTGACTCCTGCCCAGCTCACTGAACTCATCTTGAATCAGTATTCCCCCTGCATCATTACTTCCTAGGCTTAAGTGGTCTTTCTAGCTCAGCCCAGGCTCAGGTGATCCTCCCTGGGCAGGAGCGAAGGGGTCGTGGGCCCCATAGGTAGTATTGGCTCCTGGGGGCACAAGCTATGTCCCTGGACGATACTTTCCTCCCAGGCCTCTGCCTATGAGCTCTTGAGCACTTTTGAGCTCAAGCATTCCACCCACCCTCAGCCTCCCAAAGTACTAGGATTATAAACGTGAACCACCACACCTGGCTGATTTTGTTTGAGATGGAAGGAGTCTTGCTCTGTCACCCGAGCTGGAGTGCAGTGGCATAATCTCAGCTCACTGCAACCCCAGCCTCCCGGGTTCAAGCAGTTCTGCCTCAGCCTTCCAAGTAGCTGGGATTACAGGCGCCCAACACCATGCCCGGCTAATTTTTGTTTTTGTTTTTGAAACAGAGTCTCGCTCTGTTGCCTAGGCTGGAGTGCAGTGGTGAGATCTCGGCTCACTACAACCTCTGCCTTTGAGGTTCAAGTGATTCTCCTGCCTCAGCCTCCTGAGTAGCTAGGATTACAGGCAGGTGCCACCATGCCCAGCTAATTTTTGTATTTTTAGTAGAGATGAGGTTTCACCATGTTGGCCAGGCTGGTCTTGAACTCCTGACCTCAAGAGATCCACTCACCTCGGCCTCCCAGAGTGCTGGGATTGCAGGCATGAGCCACTGCGCCCCTGGCCTCTGGCTGATTTTTAACTGTTTATAAATGTAAAATTTTATTGTTCAGAATAGACAGGAAGTCTTGCTATATTATCCTGGCTGCTCTCGAGTTGAACTCCTGGGCTCAAGTGATCCTCCCTCCTCAGCCTCACAAGGTGCTGGTACTACAGGCATGAGCCACCAGGCCTGGCCACACAAGTATAGTTTTCTTTCTTTCTTTCTTTTTCTTTTTTTTTTTTTTTTGTGGGGGACAGAGTTTCACTCTTGTTGCCCAGGCTGGAGTGCAATAGCTCTATCTCGACTCACTGCAGCCTCTGCATCCCGGTTTCAAGTGATTCTCCTGTCTCAGCCTCCCGAGTAGCTGGGATTATAGGCACAAACTGTCATGCCCAGCTAATTTTTGTATTTTAGTAGAGATGGGGTTTCACTGTCTTGCCCAGGCTGGTCTCAAACTCCTGAGCTCAGGCAGTCCACCTGCCTCAGCCTCCCAAAGTGCTGGGATTACAGGTGTGAGCCCCGTGCCCGGCCACAGATGTTTTTAACTGCAGTGTAGTTGTGCAGTGGCTCACACCTGTAATACCAGCACTTTGGGAGGCTGAGGCAGAAGGATTGCTTGAGCCCTGGAGTTCAAGACTAGCCTGGGCAACAAATTGAGACCATGTCTCTAATAAAAATTTTAAAAATTAGTTGGGGCTGGGTGCAGTGGCTCATGTCTGTAATCCCAGCACTTTGGGAAGCTGAGGTGGGCGGATTACTTGAGGTCAGGAGTTCGAGGCCAGCCTGGCCAACATGGTGAAACCACGCCTCCACAAAAAATACAAAAATTAGCCGGGCATGGTAGCATATGCCTGTAATACCAGCTACTCGGGAGGCTGAGGCAGGAGAATCGCTTGAATCTGGGAGGTGGAGGTTGCGGTGAGCTGAGATCACGCTGTTGCACTCCAGCCTCGGTGAGAGAGCAAAACTCTGTCTCAAAAAAAAAAAAAAAAAAAATTAGGGCTGGGCGCCGTGGCTCCCGCCTATAATCCCAGCACTTTGGGAGGCCAAGGTGGGTGGGTCATGAGGTCAAGAGATCGAGACCATCCTGGCCAACATGGTGAAACCCCGTCTCTACTAAAAATACAAAAATTAGCCTGGCATGGTGGTGCGTGCCTGAGGTCGCAGCTACTCAGGAGGCTGAGGCAGGAGAATGACTTGAATCTGGGAGGCAGAGGTTGCAGTTAGCCGAGATCGTGCCACTGCACTCCAGCCTAGCACCTGGCGACTGAGCAAGACTCTGTCTCAAAAAAAACAAAAACAAAAACAAACAAAAATTACCCAGGCATGGTGGCGTGCTCCTGTAGTCCCACCTACTTAGGAGGCCGAGGCAGGAGAATTGCTTGAACCCAGCAGTTGGAGATTGCAGTGAACCAAGATCATACCACTGCATTCCAGGCTGGGCGACAGAGTGAGACTCCATCTCAAAAGAAAAAAAAAAATTAGTTGAGTGTGATAGCATATGCCTATAGTCCTGGCTACTTGGGAGGCTGAGGCAGGAGGATTGCTTTAGCCTGGGAAGTCAAGGCTGCAGTGATTGTGCCACTGCCCTCCAGCCTGGGTGAGAGAGTGAGACCCTGTCTCAGCGACAACAACAACAACAAAACAAACCTGACAAACACGCTAAGCTAGTTCCTGCTCCAGTTTCTTAGTACTCACCTCTGTTCTATCTAAGAAGCGTTTTTTACCCTGATCTTTTCATGGCTCTTTTTCCCATCATTCAAACTCAGCTTAAAAATCAACTAAAACTTCTTCCCTGAGCCACCTATCTCTTGTTTGTACCCCTACCCATCGTATCACTGTGGTTTTTCTTTTTGGTTTGAGACAGGGTCTGGCTCTGTCACCCAGGCTAGAGAGCAGTGGGGCAGTCTTGGCTCACTGCAACCTCTGCCTCCTGGGTTCAAGTGATTCCCCTGCCTCAGCCTCCCAAGTAGCTGGGACTACAGGCGCATGCTACCACACCTGGCTAATTTTGTAGTTTTAGTAGAGATGGGGTTTCACCATGTTAGTCAGGCTGGTCTTGAACTCCTGTCCTCATGATCTGCCTGCTTCAGCCTCCCAAAGTGTTGGGATTACAGGTGTCAGCCACAGCACTCAGTAACTTTATTTTCTTTACTGCTTTGTCGCCATTACCTATAACAATTTCTGGCACCTTGTAGGTGCTTGGTGAATATTTTTTGAAAGAATGAATGATATCCAGAATGCTGTACAGAGAAAGTAGCCTTCCTTTGGGATTGTTTTCTTAGGGCTATAAGTGTTCTTTTTTTTTCTTTCTTTCTTTCTACTTTTTCTTCTTTTTTTTTTTGAGACAGGGTTTTCCCTCATTGCCCAGGCTGGGGTGCAGTGGCACAATCTTAGCTCACTGCAACCTCCACCTCCCAGGCCCTAGCAGTCTTTCTACCTCAGCCTCCTGAGTAGTTGTGCCACCATGCCTGGCTAATTTTTTATATTTTTAGTAGAGATGGGTTTCTGGCATATTGCCCAGGTTGGTCTTGAACTCCTGGACAAGTGATCTGCCCACCTCAGCCTCCCAACGTGCTGAGATTATAGGCATGAGACACCATACCTGGTCAAGACATAGGTATTTCTATGTGATGTACATAATGTACTGATACAGAACAGTCAGCCATTTCTCAGATGTTTGTGAGATAAAATGGGTCATCCTCACCTTTTGAAAGTGCTTCTTGTGAGGCCAGGTGCGATGGTTCATGCCTGTAATCCCTGCAGTTTGGGAGGCCTAGGTGGGTGGATCATGAGATCAGGAGTGCAAGACCAACCTGGCCAAGATGGTGAAACTGCGTCTCTACTAAAAATACAAAAATTAACTGGGTATGGTGTCAGGTGCCTATAATCCCAACTACTTGGAGGTTAAGGCAGAAGAATTGCTTGAACCCAGAGGCTGAGATCACACCATTGCACTCCAGCCTCATGACAGAGCAAGACTCCGTCTCAAAAAAAAAAAAAAAAAAAAAAAAGGGGTGGGGGAAGCGTGCTGCTTGTTCTTTTTTTTTTTTTTTTTTTTTTGGGACGGAGTCTTGCTCTGCTGCTAGGCTGGAGTGCAGTGGCACGATCTCTGCTCACTGCACCCTCCAGCTCCCAGGTTCAGTCGATTCTCCTGCCTCAGCCTCCCAAATAGCTAGGACTACAGGGGCGTGTCACCATGCCTGGCCAATTTTTGTATTTTTAGTAGAGATGGGGTATCATCATGTTGACCAGGACGATCTCGATCTCTTGCCTCATGATCCTCCCACCATGGCCTCCCAAAGTGCTGGGATTACAGCCATGAGCCACCGCGCCCGACCTCTTGTTCATTTTTCTTTTCTCATCTTTATACAATCTTTCTTAAGGATATATGGCAAGGAATGGCATGAGAAAGGGGACTTGTATGCTAAAGCTTAAGGAACCATTTGAGCTGAACCTTCTGGGGATAAAATAAGTTGTGAGAAATGTATTCCAAGTCTTTGGGATAAAGATGAGGTTGGTTGCAGATTCAGGCTTGCTGCAGTTTTAGCTCCAGGCTGAACTACATTTCATAGTCCAAAGAATAGTTGACAGTGTGGGAGTGGTGTCTCCTAGGTAGGAGGGAAACAAATTGCTGCTGAAACCTTTCACAAAACTGGGTTATGCAGATGACCAAGGTTGTGAAAATCTGAACAGGGAATGTCAACAGCCTCCAGTTGTTGGTACTCAATTCTGTGACCTCTAGTTTTCGATACTTAAAAATGTATATATTTTGAAGTAATTATAGTTTCACAGGAAGTTAAAAAATGTGTACAGAGGTCCTGCATGTACCCTTCACTAAGTTTTTTCCATTGTATAACTAGAGGTACATTTCTTTTAATCTGAGTAAAAGTGTGTTTCTCCACGTAAATTCAGGTTCTCCTTGTGGTACTAATTGTAATATAATCCAGATCTCAAAGTTAAACTTTTTTTCACCATTGAGCTTTCTTTATGAGCTCAAGAAAATTTATCTCTCTCAGATATATGTGTGCTGACTGATCCTAGTGGGTTGTCAGACCTAATAAACTTGTAAGTAAGCAATATAGGAAGTTTCTAGAAATAGTTGGTACACTGTTTATTCACTAACACTTCTTTTAATACTCTTTTGCAGTCTACTTATAAAAATATTGTATATTCACTGTACCTATTTAGAAATGAATGTATAAAAAAGAATTGGCCAGGCACTGTGGCTCACACGTGTAATCTCAGCCTTTTAGGAGGCTGAGGCAGGAGGATTGCTTGAGGCCAGGAATTTAAGACCAGCCTGGGCAACATAGTGAGACCCTGTCCCTACAAAAAATAAATTAGCCAGGCGAGGCAGGAGGATGGCTTGAGCCCAAGAAGTTGAGGCTGCACTGACCTATGATTGCACCATTGCACTCCAGCCTGGGTGACAGAGTGAGACGCTGAAAGGAATCACAGGGAGACAATATAGTATAGTGAGTAATGATGGCCGGTGGAGCCAGATACCTGTAACTCTGCTACCACCTGTCTGCCCTCAGACAAGTTCCTTTATATACCTGAGCTTCTGCTTTCTCATCTGTACGGTAGACATACTAGTATATCCACCTCATAGGGTTGTTTTGAGAGTAAGTGAATTATACATAAGCAGTTTAGAGCAGCGACTAGTACATTGTAAAGTACTCTTCCTACTCATTACAGATGGCAGGAGAGCTGGCTGACAAAAAGGACCGGGATGCATCACCTTCCAAGGAGGAAAGGAAGCGATCACGGACACCTGACAGAGAGCGGGATAGAGACCGGGACCGGAAGACTTCCCCATCTAAAGACAGGAAGCGGCATCGTTCAAGGGATAGACGTCGAGGAGGCAGCCGTTCTCGCTCTCGTTCCCGTTCCAAATCTACAGAAAGGTAAAGTAACTTTGTAAGTTATTACATAGGAAGGGAGAGTATATTTCAGATTTCTTCCTTACTGGTTCTTCTGATGCCTCCAGTATTAGGCATCTGCTTTTTGTACATTAATCTGCTCTTATCCCAGTTGGACCTGCAGGTGTTTTCAGTTTTCCTTAGTGACCCAACTCTTTTTTTTTTTTTTTTTTTAAGATGGAGTCTCGCTCTGTCACCCAGGCTGGAGTACAGTGGCATGATCTTGGCTCACCGTAGCCTCTGCTTGCCAGGTTCAAGCCATTGTCCTGCCTCAGCCTCCTGAGTAGTTGGGATTATAGGCCTGGACCACCACACCTGTCTAGTTTTTGTATTTTGAGTAGAGATGGGGTTTCTTTTTTTTTTTTTTTTTTTTTTTTTTT